GATTTTTACGACTATAATTTGGTCTATGGAACATCTGATTATACCATTGAACAGAGCTCATCGAGTTGTACTTGGAACACAAATGGAACCTCTGGAACATGTTTCTGAAGGAATCCCCGATAATTTTACTATATAAATTGTAATATTTAACCGATCTTTTCCCACTTTCGAACACATACTTAGAGCTATGGAAAATCTACTTATTCCAATCGATAGAGCTCATCGAGCTCTAATTTGGAACTCTCTGGAGCAGCTGGAGCAGCTTTCTAGACGAATATCAGCTGATTTTAGTAACCATGTGATAGGAGTCATATATTAATAAATCAGTATTTTGGGGTTTTTTCACAAACGGTTTGAGCTATGGAAAGTGCAAAATTACCAATCGATAGAGCTCGTCCAGTTCTATTCAGGCGCTTTCTGGCATAGCTGGAGCAGCTTCCTTGACGAATATCGGCTGAATTTACTAACCATATGGTAAGATTTGCATAGGAAAAAAATAGTATTTTGGGATCTTTTCACAAATAGTTTGAGCTATGGAAAATCCAAAGTTACCACTCGACAGAGCTCGTCGAGTTCTATTCTGGCGCTGTCTGGCGCAGCTGGAGCAGCTTCCTGGTCGAATATCGGATGGATTTACTCGAATATGAGGCTGACTTCACCTACGTGGTTACTATCGAAGAAATTTTTCTCTCTCGTGAAGCACAAAGGTAAAATTGCGAGATAAAAGAATGTTTTTGTGCGCAACACTGCAAACAGATGTGGGTGTTATGATAAAAAAGTTTGTTGTTGCTTGCACATAATATTATAGTTGCGAACTTTTCGTGTTTGTCCTTTCGAGTAAGTAAATATTCGAAGCACAGCAGTCTCAAATACTGCGGTCCGTGCAAAATGGATCAGTTTTCGGATACTGATGTCAAGAACAGCTACTTAAGTCTCATTTCTAGCTATTGAGCTTATATCCTACTCTCTTTTGAAGGATCCTTTGTGTCGACACTACCACTCATCAGTGAATTAGATCGCTACATTGGAGCAACACAGTCTATTCTACATTCTGATCCTAGCCGATACCACCCTGCCTCCTCCTCACCATCAGCCTTGAATGTACCATAGCAAGCTGTATCCAACGACATAGAAAGAAACGAATGCAGCCATCAAACGAACACACGCCCACACCCACATCAGAAAGGATAACAATATCCAGACCGTAACACGACAGTCTCGCATCGACACTTCCGCGCAAAATGAAGTTTTTTAAAATTTTTTCTGTGTTAACTTAATGCATCTTCCAAAATTTCATTAACTGCTCTATGGGTGTGGGTGTAAAGTGACATTGTGGAATACAGGTGTTAGCTATGGTATGGGCGTGGTTGTGGGTTCTGATGTGAGTCTGAGGTTCGTATATGGTTGCTGGAGTGTTTGAGTGTTGGGTATGGTTGCAGGTATTTGAGTTTCAGTTCCCTTCATTCCATTCCAACATTCACACCGAAACGCTGCAGCCACACCAACGAAACAGTTAATGAAATTTTAGAAGATATATTAACTTAGAATACAAAAAGAAATTTCATCTTGCATGGGGATGTTAGCACGGAAATGTTGGTGAACCATCCAGACAACTACGAACTGTACATCTAACTACCCATTCATGTAAAAACAGGCACATCCATGCATATACCGACCGACCAATGTGCACACCTACATCCACTTGTAGAACCCCATGCACAAACGACAACAACATAAGGGATATCCAAGGACTGAGGAATAGGAAGTTCTCCTCAGTTCTCACACAGTTCTATGAATGATAAAATTAAAAAAACAGAATATCCACAATATTTTCTGTTCTTACACTCATTTTCATCACGAACTTTGTGAACATGAATGTGTAGATGTGAAATCTGTTTCAGAAAAAGCATTACTTTGGCTCTCATGTATGGAGGAACTATGAGAGAACCAATAAACAATTCTTGTTTCTCCAAAAAATTATCATTCTGATGCTGATATTTCCTTCACTGATCAGGAATTCTCATTTGTCAGCTCTTGGACACTTCAAAAATAAATATTAGAGCTTTTAAAATTTCCAACGTCCCAACTCAGTTTCTGGATATATTACCGTTTGGTTTCTTGTCAATAAGTTCTTTGCCATTGTTTTATCTCTTTTTCATTTCAATATTTTTGGAAATTAGGAATATTTCTTTCAAAATTCATTGAAAATTTCACTATCAACGGCTGAGTTGCAAACATTTCTAGCCACCGCCGTTGAAGCCTAAAACTTTTGTCGTCGTCGCCGCCGACACAATAAAAAGGTTAGGATAAATCCAGCCATCGCTGCCGATCAGTGCATCGGCTTATATTTCTACCTAAACCCACGCCCACAGCAATAAACATCTATGCCAACATTCACATCTACACGGACACCAGCTCCCAACAATCGCCACCAAAGTCAGCAACCTTTACCCATACCAACTAGCAGTAAGACTCGCTGAGAAAAGTACGTATTGTTGAAACGTCAAAAAATAGGATTTCCAAACATTTTAATGCTGAAAGAGTTTCTGACACATTCTTGGAAACTTGTAATGAGTCTTTTCAAGCTGAAAGAAAAGATATTGCAACTTTCGCATGTCTTTCAGGTGGTTCAAACAGTAATATTTCCGTAAACTTCCAAGAGTTTGCGAAAAAAATGACTCGTTTCTAAAAGTTGAAAACCCTTCAATGTTTTCGAAAATGTAATAATCTGAATGTGCGGACCCCAATTTTGAAATCAGAAAAATCTTTAAAGACTTTCCCAGATCGTGTCGCAAATTCTTCCGGCATAAAAACATTTGGAAATCCTATTTTTGGGTTTTCTGCAAGGTGGATGTTTTCAAAGTGTACGTCCGCAACGGCACTTACACTTATTCAAGCAACATCACCCACAAAAAATTCCGATATCATCCCATTGATACCGATCCACGTACATACTGACACTCACCCAAATTCATAAACAAGTCCATCCTCACAGCCACACCTATAAAAAGATTAACGAGCAGATCAAACGATGCAGCCGCAGAAAACCACATCTACACCGACACTCATACGTGAAACCTAGTCACATTCATAAGCCCATCTATCTCAACGAATAGGTGTGTGAGTATTGATATCGATATGGATTGCAGTGACTGAAATCTTCTGCCTGTTTGTGCATCTACTTGTAGGTCTGGTTGTGACAATCGATTTTTTGAATGTGAGTGAGTGAGTGAGTGTATGTGCCGGTACCGACAGTTGTAAATGTGCATTTTTTTGAGGGTGTGGTTGTCGAGGTAGATGTGAGGATTGGTGTGGGTATAAGTTTCGATGTGGATAGTACAGACGTGAGTTGGTAGCTTTGACTGTTGGTGCAGATGTTGATAGCTGTGGGTCTGGAATCCGTGTTAATTGCTCGAAAGGAAAAAGATCGAAAGACAAAGTCTCAAGAAAAAAGATCGAAAGGTAAAATCTCGAACATGCAACATCTCGAAGGGTAAAAATCTCGAAAATCAGAAATCCAGAAAAAAATCTCGAATGTGCAAAATCTCCAAAAGCAAGAATCTGAAAATAGAAATCTGGAAAATTCCGAAAATGTCGAAAGTGTAAAATGTAAAAACAACTCGAGGGTGTTGATATGAGTATAGGTATGCGATGTGCTTGTGTGCACTATCGAAGAATAGGCATCCCACACCCACACCCATACGCACACCCACACCCACACCCACATCCACACCCACATCCACATCCACATCCACACCCCACACCCACATCCACACCACCCACACCCACACCCTCACTGTTAAAATATCATTTGATCGTGCATTTTGTAGAGAAATGTTTGCTCTGTCAACCTATATATTTTAAAATATGTCACAGGTCTTCGTTATCAATTAATTTAGCAAATACATGACCAGAACCAAATTGGTCCCGATCATGTAGGGTGTGGGTGTGAGTGTGTGTGTGAGTCATAGACTGATCTGCACCAACACCCCAGCTACACCCGCAAGAATCCAAAATCATAATATGAATTAGAGAATGCTGTCAATGAAGCTTTAAATGGTTTATCATTAAATATTATTCAAGCATGCATTAAAAAGACTCACAAAGTCTATCAACAGTTTGTATCTTCATATTAGATTTTTATTTGTGTTATAATCATCTATACTTGTACTATTCATATACATCTTCTGATCATAAAATCTATATTTCAGATGAAAATATAAAGTATAGAGTTAACTTTGTCCATGGTAGTGAATAAACAGAACGTTTTGCTCACTTGCTCTGAATCATCACAATAATAAGCATGTTTTTTTCGCTGAATAGAGATGCCAACATTTTCATGTTGAAGCTGCAAAGATGGAAAAAAACCAATTGTTTCTCAGTCGCGAAATAAGAAGTAAAACGTGTGCGCCATTTTATCAGCAGATTATTGATCTTCAAACTATAGTGAAAGAACGTGGCAATGACGTCAGCATCTTTTTCGAGGAAAAGAGAGAGAGAGAGAAAGAGAAAGTCGTAAGAATTTTTTGTATTTAAGGGTGTAAAAAATTCAGTCACTCTATTCTCTCCAACCATTTTATTGATTTCAGATGGCAACTACAGACGATGAGATATCACTCAAACAATGTCTGAGTGTTATCATGAATTGGGTCAATCAGTGTATCGAAAGCTGGATACTCTGCAATGAAGAGCAACAGCGAGAATTATTGCAACCTCAATCGAATAGATTAGTGGATATTTCTCAAGAAAATGATTTATTGATGAACGATACATCTAAGATAACACCAGGCGATGGTAGAGGCAATGGCTCCCTCGATTTAATGACTCGCACCATCGAAGAAACGCTCGAACAAGATCTACCTAATTTATCGAAGAAGAGTCAGAGATTCTTACTTGATTTTTTTCATACATACCACTATAAACCGGAGCAGAAGAAATTCCATCCACCGCTTAAACTAGAAGACTTATATCCACTGAGTCACGATTTAAATGGTTTACTCATGTCTGTGACCGCTTTTGCTGAAGCATTCCGTGGTAGACTATCACCAGTCAAAAAGTTTCTCGAAGAATATCCTGAATGGAAAGACAAATCAGGTCTATGGCAAACGACATTACTGTATTCCGCAGCACGTCATGGTCAATTAGACATAATTCAATATCTAATCGAAGAGGCAAATTGTTCAATCAATGCTCAAAATCAACGACAAGAGAATGATATAACTGAGGTGACTTCCTCCACGGCCCTTCATCGTGCTTGTTCGCTTGGCCACTTAAGTCTTGTAAAATATTTCGTCGAACATGGAGCTGATTATTTCATTCGGAATCAAATGGATCAGACTCCAATTATGGCAGGAAAACACCATGCCAATATCCAACAATATTTTCAAGATTATCTAATCATTAAATATTCGATGGATGCACCCTCAAGTTTACCAGACTGTACCTTTTCCGATGATTCAAGAAGACCCATGGCCGACGGTTGGTGGGAATACAAACCTATTCGAGATCCTCAGTGGTACAAATTCTCCAAAGTTGGTGCTGCCCAACTTCGCGAAGCTCTATTACCATTCAAAGAATTTCAAGAACAAGTTTATCTATCGTTGGGAAAGAATTATCTTTATTATATTTCCATGGTAGATTTCTTTCGATCAGGAAACTATGCCGAAGATCCAGAGAGCAAGGTCGCTTGGATTCGCTACCGTGGATCGAGTGTTTTCAGTTTCGATTGCCAGGCTCTCTGGCAAATCATGCTACTGAAACATCCAAAAACAAGTGCTCGTCCAAATACTACTCCAACGATGGAAGTAAAAAGCATTCCAGAAATGAGTGACAAAACCTTTCAACCTCAACTCAATACTTGGTACAGATGCGATACGAAAACGAATCGATTGTTGGAAGATGCAATCAATATGCGGCGCAAAATTATAACAATCCATATCGATACTATTGGAGAGAATTTAAGCATCAACTTTGACACATTTTCCCTGACGAACACTGATCAAACCATTACGGGTTACCTTCGTTGGATTCCCAAATTGATCTCAAATACTGAAAGAAATAAACATAAGATTGTAGAAATTGATAATTATCAACCAATGACGAATTTAGAACCGATTCCTCTCACTACAAAACATCTACGAGACGTTGTCACCAGTGGTGCAAATGATCAAGAGGAGAACATTTCTCGCGATGATGATGTGGATGACGATGGTTCGGATAATGCGGAAATGGCTGATATAAAAGATATTGACGACGTCGATGATGACGATGATGAATATCAAAATAGTGAAGAGAGTACTGACAATTCTCAGAGCGCTCCTGCCCAATCTGAAACAGCGGCTGATCCTTCTGCGGAGGCATTTTTCCATCCAACTGTTGGTCAACTGCAGCAGAACACATTAGTTGAGAAAAGCAATGCGGATGAAAATCAGCAATTCGTTGACGTAATGATGGCTAAAGTCCGATCGGTTAATCAAAAGCTCAAAGACAAAATTGAACACGAACAGCGACGAATTGAACTGAGAACTCAACGCAAGCAGGAATCCAATCCAGAAGCAGAAAAACAGCTAAAACAGGCGCTAGAGCGATTGGAACAAATGCAACAACAAGTTGACAAACACAGCAAGCGAGAAAAGGCAGCAAAATTAGTAATGAGCCAAATAAAAACCGTCAATTATATTAATGTCGAAGCGTGTGTTATAGAAAACTTTTTGTATACGAAATTAGCTGATCTAGTCGATCATCTCAATGAAATCGAAGAGTTAGACGAGTTGATCAAAGGAAAAATTCCCAAAGTCACTATTCGAGAACGAAACACTGCTTATTGTATATCTGTAATTGGTTTACAATGTCATCATGATGAATTTAAAGTAATCCTCCAACGAATTCGAACATTGTCCAATCTAACTCGATCAGCGAAGAATTACTATGAACGACAATTACATCGAACAATCAATGACATCCATCGATCGTTGATCATCGAGGATATTCCTTCATTATCAGATTGGAAATGTTATGCCAAAATTTTACGAAAATTGATGCAGAACGAAATGGAAACTTATGTGAAAAATTTTGATGATTATATTATCAAACAAGCGAAAGACATCGTTTCTCAATGTATTGGAAATGCTCGTTTTCAATCATGGGTTGCTATACATGAGAAGACGAATGAGTACGTGAAGAATCATTCGTTTTCTGGTGAGATCGAAGCACTAAAACATAAAGCATTGGATGAATTCGTCAATGAGCAAGTAGTCACTCGACCATCGGGATCTCAAATAGTCCTATCTACCGCATCTTTGCAAGTGATGAACGAATTTATCAACAGAGCGAAGACTGAATTCAAAAAAAATCGAAAATTCATCGGCACAAGTGAGAATCAATTTCGTCATACAGCTTATCTCTTACAGCGCATTATGTTGTATTATCGTTCATGTCTTCTGAAATTACCTTTGTATGAATCATCAAAATCTTTATTAGACAAAATAGAAAAGAATACAGTTGTAACCATTGCCACTTCGACTGGATCAGGAAAATCTACCCTTCTACCAGCATTATTGATTGCAGAAGGATATGATCGAGTTTGTGTCACCCAACCTCGTCGTTTACCATGTACATCGATCTGCAATCGAGTGAATAAAACGATGATGAATATAAAAGATCGATTTCCATTAGCTGGTTGGTCTGTGAGTGGTGCTGAACGCAATACCGATGCTCAAATCTTGTATTTAACAGATGGTCTCCTCAAAGAACGCCTTTTATTCGATTCAAACTTTATTGAAAATGAAATCAGAGGTGATAAACGTATCGTTCTGTTCGTTGATGAAGTGCATGAGAGATCGATTAACATCGATCTATGTCTAGCACTCATTGCTCGTCTTCTTACCGAACAACCATCATTGAGATTGAAGCTTAAAGTAATTATCTCATCGGCGACACTCGATAAATCCGTCCCAACTCTGTTTCATCAGATTCCACAATTAAAATTCGATCAATATCAAATGCCATTCAGCCAAACTCTTCATAAGGTCGAGAAAATCTATCGACCCAAAGAGAACATTCTTGATGTGGTACAAGAATTATGTCGTAAACGACAACGACACGATCAAATTCTGTGCTTTGTTAGCAGTGTCACCGATGTCTATCAGTATTGTAGTTTGCTAGACAAACTTAGTCGTGGCATAGTCATTGCTCATCCACTTGTTCAATCACAATCGGCAAATGAACAACAACGATGTATTGAGCATGGCACTATTTTCTTCTCTACTACGGTTGCGGAAACATCTCTAACATTTCCGTCGTTGAAATATGTCGTGGATACGGGTATGATCAACGTACCCATCTACGATCCCAAAGCGAAACAAACAACTCTGAAAGAAGTACCTGCCTCAGAATCGACCATCAAACAACGTTTAGGCCGACTTGGACGAACGAAACCAGGTGAATATCATGCTCTGTATGATTCGAAAATGGAACGACGGACCTATCCCAAACCTCATGTGTGTCAATCGAATTTAATCGATGTAGAGTTTTCATTACGGCGATCATCGTTAGGCAATGGGTTATCTCATCTGAAAAAATGTCTTCCAGATCCACCTGAATCGACATTGATTGAGGCCGCAGTAGAAGAACTAAAGCGATTAGGTAAGTAATAGACCGAAAACTTGGAAGATCGATTCTCTTTCTTCTTAGGAATTCTATCATCATCGAAGCGATTGAATCAGACTGGTCGTGCTATCGCCCAATTACCAGATTTCGGTACATTGCCCATGGCAAAGGCGGTTCTGTCAGCCTTGATAGAAAACCAATGCGGTCATGATCTTGTTGTACTGTCGTCTATTTTAAGTGTCCTCAATACATCATTATTCCTGAAATCTGTGCCACTTGAAATGAAATCAGTCGATGGTGATTTTATGACTCTTCTGAACGTTATAAATAAATTATTATCAGAGCGAGAAAGATTCGGAATTCGCGAGTTTAGGTTGGACTTGTTCTGTCAAACACGAGGAAAGCTTCGGTCGGTACAGCACGTATTGAATCGTGCTGTGCGACGATATGACGCATTACAGAAATCATTCAAAAATCTGCCTGTCTACGCTAAGAAAGCACAAATTTCCAGTGGTGATTGGGAAGCGATTGCGAAATCATTATTGAAAGGATATGGTGATAATGTCTATGTGTCAATGAAAGAATTGTACGGTCGAAACCATCGGTTCGTTCGATATCATTCTAACAAGGAAGAATATGCGGTTATGGATCATCATTCGACTTTATCGCGCTCAAAAAACCTACCTCCGATTCCTATTGTTCTCGCTCGAGATATTCGTTATTCATCATCGGTTCGAGCTAATGCTGTCTTATCGTTTGTTGGTCGACTTCAATCATCCTGGCTTCAGATGCACATTGAACGAAGAATGAAAATCAATGCATTCGAAGAATATGAACTGAATACAGGAGGCCTTTTGAGCAACGTGACATCATTCTATTCTGATGTTCAAATGCAAGCGAATCAACATGTTCTCACTTTGCAGGGTCCATCGGGTTCTGTGATCGAGGCTGAATGGGCTCTCATTCAAAAGCTAGTTCGAACCCAAAATTTTCCCCTGACCAATGATGTTCCTACAACAAAATCTGATGACCATGAAAGAATGAATCGAAATTTGAAGAGTGTGACAAAAATGACTAAAATATTCAATCCAATGATATGGCGTTGGAAGAATGAAGGACAAGTCAAAGTGACAATTACCACGGGTGTCGGTGCCGCAACTTGTGATGTTAATATTGAAGGGCGAGATTCTCAATATCATGCTGTGAAGAATGAAATTGAATCGTTCAAAAATTGGTTGAGAGACTCGGCTGTTATACGTCATCCTGACGCAAGTAAGTCTCCGAAAGATCAGTTGACTCTTATTCTTCTCTTCAGTTGTACTACCTAGAATCATCAAACAACCAAAGCGTAAATCCTGTCTCGATATTGAAGAAAGGATTTCTCATGTGACTGATTCGAAACGAACGACGATCGATTTATGGAATGGATTGCGAGGTTCGAAAGCAACACGAGAAACTCGTATGGAAGTGGTCGCTTGGATTGTCGTTTGCCAGTTCGAATGCCATGTCGAGGGTGGCTTTGTTCGAGACTGGATTGTCGGACATTATCAGGCTCGCCCAGCTGGAAATCCATCAACATGGGTTACATATCGCACTAACACAGCGGGAGATCAGGTTCCTGAGCTCAATAAAGAACTGGTGCCAACTGATCTGGATTGTCATCTACCTGTGCATAAATATTTCGATCTAGATAAGTTCCTCGACTTCTTGCATAAATATCAGATCGAGTATAGTTACGTGCGAGAAGGCTGGAGATACATATTTCTCTTGGATGAACACGCCAAAACTGGGCCGTTCACGATGGACCTTATCGAACCACATGTCGCACTCACACATGATCGAATCGATTTCGATGTGAATAATCTTTCATTAGAAAAGGATTATACCAAAGAACTGGGTATGAGAGTCGACACACGACCTAAACCGTATTCGATTGATCTCGAGGCAATTGTGGATAATATCAAACATAAGCGTTTTCAATTGTTACGCCCAACCGATCACAACATTAATAACCGCATTCAAAAAATGATCTCTCGTGGTTGGACGAAAACAGGAGAAGATCTGAACTTCATTCCCAATCCACCACCCAGATGTGAAGTGATCGTTGTTCCTGTACCTCAAATTGCTGATATCTACCAATCAGTAGTACAAGAGCTCCAAAACAACGTTGATATTCAAGTCAAAGTTCATTCCATTGTTCAGATTAAAAATCCATCATTGGAAGAGGCATATCTAGCGATAAAACAGCTGATTGCTAAAGAATGTGCCGGAGGAGATCCGAATGAACGACTCTTATTTCATGGCACGAGTGGTACGTCTATTGATGGAATATTAAACGATGGATTCGATGATCGTTACTGGAATTCCGGAAAATGGGGTAAGTATTGTAGCAAAAAGCTCAGGTTTTGATTATTTTCTTTGATTCTTTGTAGGTCATGGGGCTTATTTTGCTAAGAATCCAGCAGTGTCACATGGCTTTGCACGCCAGGATGCCACTGATCAAACACGTGTGATGTTCTACAGCAAAGTCACTTTGGGTAAACAGCAAACACTGCAAAATACCGATGGAAATCTAAAGGCAGCACCCAAAGGATTCCATTCTGTGCATGGTATACCACCAGGAACTACCAACGTTGACGAATTTATTGTCTATCGCTATGCACAAGCCTTACCCTATCTTAAAATCACCTATAAAGGATAGATCATGTGTCATTCGACTATTCGAATTGATGTTTTCTGAACTTTTTTTGTCTTCAAGGCGTGAGTCAAAACTATCGATGGAAGAAAATATCAATAGTTTATGACTTATTCCAATCAATACCCATGTTGTAGAAATATCTGAAAAATTGCTGATTAATCGCGATATATCGAAACGATAATCTTGAGCTGAAACGCGATTTATCGCCGATTTTTAATGCTATTTTTAGTGATTAATACGATAAATCGTGATTTATTTCTCGATTATTTTTAAACATTATTCATTGCTTTATTGTCAGTCTGATGTGATATTATCGTGATTTCAAAGATATTTTATTTATTTTGGATAAATTGCATCTATTTTTTCGATTAACTTGAGGGTGTGGGTGTGAGTGTGGGGTGTGGGGTGTGGGTGGGTGTGGGTGTGGGTGTGGGTGTGACTGGGTGTGTGGGTGTGGGTGTGGGGTGTGGGGTGTGGGGTGTGGGTGTGGGTATGTGGGTGTGGGTGGG